TTTTCACCAGGTTGTGGAAATGGTACAGTTCTTGTTGCTGTCCAAAACTAGCCTGAGACTACTCAACTTTTACTCTCAATTTAGCTCCTTCTGCCAATTACATAGTATCTAAACCTAAAGGGGAGGCAGAAGGCAAAGGATATATGGCTCTGTTCGTAAGAAACCTGGAGTTACTTTTCTTTTTATCAAGCAAAAAGAAAAAAAAAAAAAAAAAGAAAAAGAGAGAGAGAGAGCAAAAATATAATCACATTATTTTAATGTAACATGCAAAAAAGAAGATAAAATCAATGGTACCTGAAGAATCAGAGGTACTGAAACTCTATAAAAGATGAAGTATATCATCAAAGTTTTTAAAAATTTTGGAATGTACTGAATACTGAAATTATTGTGACCTTGTACACAGTATCCAGGTTGTACCATGTGGTTTAAGTAATGGTTTTAGCACCAAAGGGAGAAAAAACCAGAAGCCTATGTGGAAGCACAGTCTAGCTTCTGAGACAACACAGCATGCTGTGGCAATGCTGGTCCCAAAACAGCTGAACAGAGCCATAGGGTTTGCTAAAGGGATCCTCTGCCCCCTGCCTCCCAGGGCCCGACGGGTGCCTCCACTTCTAAAAGGAAATTTAGAAGAGGAGGAAGGAGACGCGGGTACGGCGTGCATCTCCCTTGCCCCGTCGGGCCATCCCGAACTGTCACATGTTCCCCTCCGAGCCCGACCCCCCGCCGGTGGCCGAGTTATTTCCTGAGCCAGACAGGTCGTCTCCGTCGGAGCGGTATGGTGAGTTCCCTCTTCCTCTGGGACTTAGGCCACGGAAGTCCAGATTGTACTGTGGAAAAGGAGACTGTGTAAGTCTGTGTTTACACTGCTGCATGATTAGGCATTAGAGTGAAAATTCAGTGAAAACAAAAGGAAAAAATGTAAATCTTTTGATAAACAGTGAATCTCTTGTATTATTTCACATTTCTGAAACTGATCATTGGGAATGCACTGAAGATTTATGTTCAACAAGTTTTCTTTACAAACAAACTATCAATACAACCAAAATCAAGTCATATAATTTCTTTTTTAGTAATATCCTTATCAGTACAAAAAGCACTTGTAAATACAGTTTTGAATGTTAAAGTTAATGCTCTATTATGTAGACTGATTCTACTGCATTAAATTAGTCTAATCAAGCCTACTGATGATTTTTGAAATTGATAAAAGCAAACAATGTTAATCTATATTCACTGCCTATGTTAATTCATCAATACACCATTAATAAGTACAGTATATTTTTTTATATATACAAAATGCATACCTGTAATATCTTAAAAATAGCATAAAGAATACTACACACAGTGAACATATAAATAATTTTAAGGAGGGTTATAAAAAATTAATGATCTATTCAATCCAATATATTACTTTTAATCAACCAGAGTGAGTTCAGTAGATCCGTTGAGTCGCAGGTTGTTGAAATCATCATTCCCACATTGAAGAAATGATCAGCTGATCAGTATCACCATACGCGGACTGGAAGACAACACTGAGACATGCATATCTGGACATGGAACGTGCAGACACACACAATAAACAGTAACAGAAAATAAAAGACAAGGAAAACACTCTGACACATGCGGCATGTTAGTAAAGGCAGGTTAAGTGTGGTGGCAAGTGGTTAATTATACTGCCATTTTTGGTTATGCTGCCAGTCATCACTGTTGCGGGAGAGACATCCTCTGTGATATCAATGCTTTAAAAATGTTGATTTCGGAGCTAAATGTTCATGCAGAATCAAAGAGAGAGGATGAGAGAGAGAGAGAGAGAGAGAGAGAGAGAGAGAGAGAGAGAGAGAGAGAGAGAGAGAGAGAGAGAGAGAGAGAGAGAGAGAGAGAGAGAGAGAGAGAGAGAGAGAGAGAGAGCGAAGAGAGAGAGAGAGAGAGAGAGAGAGAGAGAGAGGAGAGAGAGAGAGAGAGAGAAAGAGAGAGAGAGAGAGAGAGAGAGAGAGAGAGAGAGAGAGAGAGAGAGAGAGAGAGAGAGAGAGAGAGAGAGAGAGAGAGAGGAGAGAGAGAGAGAGAGAGAGAGAGAGAGAGAGAGAGAGAGAGAGAGAGAGAGAGAGATGAGAGAGATGGAGAGAGATGGAGAGAGAGAGAGAGAGAGAGAGAGAGAGAGAGAGAGAGAGAGAGAGAGAGAGAGAGAGAGAGAGAGAGAGAGAGAGAGAGAGAGAGAGAGAGAGAGAGAGAGAGAGAGATGATAGAAAAAAAAAACAAAAAAACACAGATATCTTTCCTCCACTGATGACTGAGCAGCGGACTGATCAAAGGACCTATTCTAAGTTCAACTTACTGAGAGACGGCAACACTTACGAAGGATACTGCTGCAGACTGGACTCATGCTTAACGAAGAACTTCATACATAAAGGACTGAATGTACCAAGTTATATATGCTTTAAGAACAAGGACATGTATAGATTTTCAAGCAAGATCAAGTTGAAAATCAGAAGAAAAAAAGAAAAAA